TGCATTATTTTATGGAAGGGTAGGTTGGGGAAAATATCTCCTACGCTCTCAGCCTACCTTTAGACACATGGTTTTCCTCTCAATTTTTGCATATTCTGTATTGTGCCACTTTTACGCAAGGCGACCGAACGTATTGTGTTAATGCAGCTATAGCCCAAAGAACTTTTTCCCATCATGGTTCATTGTAAATTTCAATTGTTTAGTCTTGTCATTCATCCCATGTTTTTAAGCCTTTTTCTTACTTTTCGAATAACTTCCTTGAGATAGCAGCGGTTGTTTGATTAGGTTGAGCTTCTAGTTTTTGGACACTCTAAACAATGAACCCTCATAAATGCATTCCAGATGGTGGATCAAATGGAAAATCGGGTTTATGTGCAAATGGAGAAGGACGCACAAACATCATTAGATCGGCAGTTTTTGTTCGTATGCCAGCTGGCCGATGCTAAGGATGAAAAGGAGAAGGGGTACCCCGACCCAAGAAGCCTTAAAATGTCACATATTTTCATATTTCCAGTGATCTAGCTGCTATTCGTCGTCATCCCATCAATCCTACCACAGAATTGGGCTATGGGCTTCCTCCGGAAACAGAGAGACAACTGCCATTTTTGATGCACAATGGTTTAGAGCCAGTGAAGAGCGTAAGTTGGAGCTGAGGTAAATCGGATTCAAACGATTGAATCATGTTTCCAGAATACCGTATCCCGAGTGTCTGCTGTCTCATTAGATGGGCATTTGGGAAATTGGCCTATCCCAGGAGCTCACCCATACACACCAAATGTTCAACCAGTGGCAAGTTGGCCTAAACTACCTCTTCCGGACCCAATTATCCCGGCAAATCATCCGGGTAAAACTCAAAATATGAAATATAAATCTTGATTCTCTTGGAAGTTCAATTTTGCAGCCCGTAATGGCGCGACCATCGCCATGTCAGAAGGTGGAGGAGGTCGGATTCCCGACGAGTATCCTACTGTTCCAAAACTTGTGCCTTCCACAACTCCTCGAAATCCCTTCCTCCCAGCACCTCCGCCTCCCACTCCAGCCAGCCCAATCATCCCCGCTCGCGACGTGCCCCGCCCTGCTTCCGAATTCTTCGACAAACAAGCTATGGTCACTCAGCGGCCCATTGAGCCAGTGAAGAACCTCTTTACCTTAAAAACACCCGTAGAAATAGAACGCCACA